CTCGCGACGGCACACGCGCAAGGGCGTTCGACAGATTTCGACATGCGCGCGCGCGAAGCCCGTTTGGTAGCATTTTGTGAAACTCTTGGAAAACCGATGGTTTTCTTAAGATTTCGCAAGAGCTCGCGCGTAAGCTTTTTTAGCAAATCAGTGTTGCGAAACCATGTGTTTTTGTATGTGTTTTGGGAACTCGATTGCGAAATCCTTCCGGCACCGCATGTTTTTTGAAGTATTTCGGCATGCGCGCGCGACGACGCGCGCGTGTGCATTTCGTCAAATCTTGTGCAAAAGATTAATGACAAAGTGCTATGTTAGAACAAAAATGTCACCGCATAGTGTTTTTTTACAAGGGACCCTCAGGGGGGGGGGCCCGGTTGGCCTGGGACATTACGATCTCATATTTAGGATGGACATTTGGTCATAACCATATATGACACACATACCCGAAAGGGGGACCGATAACACGGGGGGGGGTAGATCCTATTCTGTTTTTAATAAGGAGAACTTGCGATGCACAATATCCGCCCCCGTGTCTTCAGCACGTAGCGAAACGTTCCAAGGCTCATGCAGGCCTGAGACATCCGCCGACCCGTCGGCGTGTGTGAGACGCTTTGCCGTTTGAGTCGTCGTCGTCGTTGGCCCCCGGCGCCGGCCCCGCGTCCGCGGCCGCGGCCGTTGCCCCGGCCTTCGCCCCGGCCACGGCCCCGGGCCTGGCCCGGGCCCCAGCCACAATCAACGTCGTCGTCAACGTCGTCGTCGTCAACGTCGTCGTCGTCGCCGCTGCCGCCGCCGCAGTCGTCGTCGTCCCCCTTCAAGGTCGGCGGCACTGGCCGTAGGGCCTTCAAGAGATGCAAGGTTTTAAGAGCACAGGCCATCCGTTTCACAAGGATTCCCATGGATCTCCATGGATTTCCAGGGTTCCAGGTGATTTCCGGGGTGCGCGTGCACTCCTGGCAAGAGGCCCCGAATCGCCGCCCGATCGGTCCAATAAGCTCAAGATGGTCTCCAGTCGGCCAGGCCCAAGGCAGCCCAGGAGGCCTCCAAGAACTGTCCCAGCCCTGCAGGGCCAAAATCAAATTTAATGTGGTTTTTCAATGCCTTTGGTGGCCTCAACTTTTCGAGCTTCCAGCGTTCCATGACGGACCAAAAGGCCTCCAAGACCGCAGTCCGAGCATTCTGGCCCAAGAGGCGCCCGGGAGGCCCACAGGAGGGTAAGGGTTTTGTCTCCGCCCCTGGAACAAGGCTCGCGGACGGGTTTTGGAGATTCTCAGGTAAGTTCTTTGCGGGTTACAAGTTGATTCCCTTTGTGGCGGATTACAATTTGATTCCTTTTTTTGTGGCGGATTACAAGTTGATTCCTTGTGTGGCGGATTACATATTGATTCCTTTGGTGGCGGATTACAATTTGATTCATTTCGTGGCGGATTACAAATTGGTTTCCTCTGTGGCGGATTACAAGTTGATTCCTTCTATGGCGGATTACAAATTGATTCCTTTTGTGGCGGATTACAAAAAAGGAATCTTTTTGTGGTGAGCTACACATTAATTCCTTTGGTGGCGGATTACACATTGATTCCTTTTGCGGCGGATTACAAAACGAATCTTTCTGTGGCGAATTACACATTGATTACTTTTGTGACAAGCCCAGCTGGAAGTGACCCAAGTCCCAAAATATAGAAAAAATCATTGAAAATTAAAGAAATTATACGATTCTCAATCGTTTTTGAAGTTTGGGACCAAAGACATATAAAAAAACAACATTTCCAACCTCCTAGAAACGCAAACCATATAAAACATATCATGTTCATGCATCAGGTATCCAAACTGCTGTGTTTTATATGGTTCGGGCTCCCAGGAGGTGGGACATGCTGTGTTTTGATATGTTTTTGGTCCCAAACCTTGAAAACGATTGAGAATCGTATGTTTTCCATAATGTTTAACGATTTGTTTTTATCTTTTGGGACCTGGGTCACTACCAGCTGGGCTTGCCACAAAAGTAATCAATTTGTAATTCGCCACAAAAAGATTCCTTTTGTAATCCGCCGCAAAAAGAATCAATGTGTAATCCGCCACAACAGGAATCAATGTGTAGCTCACCACAACAAGATTCCCTTTTTGTAATCTGCCACAAAAGGAATCAACTTGTAATCCGCTACAAAAGGAATCAATTTGTAATCCGCCACAAAAGAAATCAATGTGTAGTACGCCACAAAAGCAATCAATCTGTAATCCGCCTCCAAAGGAATCAATGTGTAACCCGCCACAAAAGAATTCCATTTGTAATCCGCCACAAAAGGAATCATAGTGTAATCCGCCACCAACAAAATTAGTGTGTAATTCGCAAAAGAAGGAATCAAATTGTAGTTCGCCGCAAAAGGAATCGATTTGAAATCCGCCACAAAAGGAATCAATGTGTAATCCGCCACAACCAAAACTAATGTGTAATTCGCCACAAAAGGAATCTATACGCAACCCAACACAAAAGGAATCAATTTATGCTTTGCCACAAAAGGAATCAATTTGTAATCCGCCACAAAAGAAAACCTTCTGTAGGGAGAGGATGTAAATGGTGGGTCCACCGCTACTAGGATTCTATGAGAGGTGGATCCATCTCTCATCGGATTGTATTAGATGTGGACCCATATGCAGTGGGATTCTCTTAGAGGTGGATCCATCGCTAATAGGATTCCACTAGAGGTGGATCCATCTCATATAGGACTCCATTACAGGTGAACCCATCTCTAATCGGACTCCATTAGAGGTGGACCCATTCCTAAAACGATGTTATTAAAAGGGGAACCACCCCGAAAAGAATTCTATTAGAGGTGGGCCCATATGCAATAGGGTTCCATTTGGGGTGGGTCCATCCCTGATAGGATTCTAGTAGAGGTGGACCCATCTCTAATAATATTAAGTTAGAGGTGGACCCATCTGTAGTAGGTTTCTATTAGAGGTGGGTCCATGTGTAGCAGGATTCTATTAGAGGTGTACCCATCCCTGTCAGGACTCCATTTGAACTGGATCCATCTGTGATAAGTTTTAGTTGAGGTGGGCCCATCTCTCGTAAGATTTCATTAGTTGTGGATCCAGCTGCAGTCGGATTTCATTAGAGTTGGATCCATCTGTGACAGGATTCTATTAGATGTGGATCCATCCGCAATGGGATTCTACTAGGGGTGGACCCATCTGTATTAGGATTCTAGTAGAGGTGGACCCATCTGTGGTAGGATTGAATTTGGGGTGGACCCGTTTGTAATAGGATCCTATTAGAGGTGGATCCATATGTAACAGGAGTCTATTAGAGGTGGGCCCATGTCTTGTAGGACCCCATCAGAGGTAGGTGGACCCATCCCTAATAGAATTCTATCAGAGGTGGATCCATATGTAATCGGATCATATTAGAGGCGGGTCCATCTGTCATCGGGTTCTGTTAGAGATGGACCCACCCGCACTAGGATTCCATTAAAGGTGGATCCATCTCTAATCGGATTCTACCAGAGGTGGACCATATTTAATAGGATTCCATTCGAGGTGGATCCATGTGTAATAGGACTCTGTTAGGGGTGGACCAATCTCTAATAGCATGCCATTGGGGATGGAACCATCTCCAATAAGAACCCAATAGAGGTGGATCCATATGTACTTGGAGCCCATTAGAGGGGCATCCATGTCTAATTGGATTCTATCAGAGGTGGATCCATCGTTATTAGGATTCTATTATAGGTGGATCCATATGTAATGGGATTCAATCATACGTGGGTTCATATGTACAGAAAACTTTATTAGAGGTGGATCCATCCGTACCAGGATTCCATTCGAGGTGGATCCATCTCTGATGGGATGCCATTAGTTGTGGACCCATATCTAATGGGATTAGATTAGAGGTGGGTCCATATGTCAAAGGATTAGATTAGAGGTGGCTCCTTCTGTAGTGCGGTTTTATTAGGGGTGGATCAATTCCTAATCGGATGCTATGGAAGGTGCATCCATATGTCGTAGGATTCTCTTTGAGATGGATCAATATGTAATGCGATTATATTAGAAGTGGGTCCATATGTAATGCGGTTTTATTTGAGCTCGATCCATGCGTTTTAAGATTATATCAGAGGTGGATGCATATTTAAAAGGATTCCAGTCGAGGTGGGCCCATCTCTACTAGGATTCCAGTAGGGGCGGATTCATTTCTAATCAGATTCCATCCTGCTACTCCACGGGAAAATCGGTGCAAAACGTCATGTTCCAGGGGGCTGAGACAAAACCTCCACGGGTACAGGAGGCCCCAAAAGGCCCCCGTAAGAGGCCCCAAAACTGCGCCCAAGAGGCCGCCAAACGGACCCAGAGACGCCCCCGACAGGCCTCCCACGGCATTCCAACGAACGTCCTACAGGTCTATGAGCCACAACCCTGACACGGCGGCTGGGCCGAAGACCATGATGTGTATGTGTGTATATATAAGTGTATACTACATGCATTTATGTACATACATAGGTGCATTCTACGAAGCGGCGACGGGGCGGCGTCGGCGGCAATAGAGCCGCCAGACCGGCGGACAGGTCCAGACGCGGGCGGCGACGAGGCGGCAACATAGCCACCAGAGCGGCAGACAGGCCCAAACAACGGGCGGCGACGCAACGACAACGGCGGCAACAAGGGCCGCAATAGCGGCAGACAGGCCCAGACGGGCGGCGACGAGGCGGCGACGGCGGCAACATAACCTCTAGAGCGGCAGACAGGCACGGTACCTTAGAGCAGAAGTAAGCCATCTACGTGCAAGTACTCTTTGGGGAATACATATATATACACATAGCGAGAGAGAGAGAGAGGGAGAGAGAGAAAGAGAGAGAGAGAGACAGAGAAAAACAAGTAAACTCAGAAAAAGCGAGAGGGAGAGAGAGAGAGAGAGAGAGAAAAAAAAAAACATGAAAATGATAATGAGAGAGGGAGAGAGAGAGAGAGGGAGAGAAAGAGAGAGAGAGAGAGAAGGAATCGGAAGGGGGAGCCTGCCGCCGAGCGTGGACGTGTCTGCGGCGTCTGCGTCGAGGACGGCGCCGTCGACTCTCCCGCGAGCTCTCCTGAAGGTGGTGGCTGGGGGGGCCTCAGACCAAGGAAAGAGGGACAATATAATAATCCTGGCGAAAAGGACGGAGCATATATAAATGAGTAACGCGTTGTGGGTGCCGCTTCCGGTGGGCCACGCAGCGCGTGATGGGGCGTGCCGTAATGGGTGGGGAGAACGCATGCGGGCACCCCAACTGGGGCCTTCGGTGTAGCTCCCTATGGGGCCACGAAGCGCTGTACTGGGCGTGGCGGACGCATGCGGGCGGTGCCACTGGAGCCTTCGGTGGAGCACCCTATGGGGCCACGAAGCGCTGTACTGGGTGTGGCGGACGCATGCGGGAACCCACACTGGGGCCTTCGGTGGAGCTCCCTATGAGGCCACGAAACGCTGCACTCGGTGCGGGGGGCGCATGCGGACACCCCCACTGGGGCCTTCGGCGGAGCTCTCTATAAGGCCACGGAACGCTGTGCTGGGGGTGCATGTGGCCACCCCCACTGGGGCTTCAGGTGGGGCTCTCGATGGGGCCACGAAGCGCTGTACTGGGTGTTGAGGACGCATATGGCCACCCCCACTAGGGCCTTGGTTGGAGCTCCCGATGGGGCCACGGAACGCTGTACTGAGTGTGGCGGACGCATGTGGCCACCCCCACTGGGCCTTCGGTGGAGCTCTTTATGGGGCCAAGAAGCGCTGTACTGGGTGTGGCGGACGCATGCGGCCATCCCCACTGGGGCCTTCGGTGTAGCTCCCTATGGGGCCACGAAGCGCTGTACTGGGCGTGGCGGATGCATGTGGCCACCCCCACTGGGGCCTTCGGTGGAGCTCCCTATAAGGCCACGAAGCGTGTGAGGGGTGTGCCGACATGGGTGTGGCCGACGCATGTGGCCACCCCCACGGGGGCCTTCGGTGCATGCGGGCGGTCCCACTGGGGGCGTCGGTGGAGTTCCCTATGGGGCCACGAAGCGCTGTACTGGGTGGGTGAAAATGCCAAATTGGGTGTGTGTGGGACGCATGCGGGCGGTGCCACTGGGGGCGTCGGTGGAGCTCCCTATGGGGTCACGGAGCGCTGTCCTGGGGCCTGGCGGGGGCCTCTTGGCAATCTTGAAAGGTTTTGGGGGCGCTTTTGGGTTGTCTTGGAGCGTTGTGACCGCGAAAATGGATGAACAGATCAACGACGACGACGACGACGACGACAACACCTCCCTATCCTCCTCCACATGCTATTCCTCAGCATCCTCCTCTTCCTATTCCTCGTCCTCCTCCTCCTCCACGTCGTAATTCTCACCCACACCCTCCTCCTCGGCTGATGTATGAGCGGCTCATGGGGATCAGACACCCCCTTTAGAACTAATGCGATGCTTGCAGATCGTGTCGGCAGATCGTCCGGGAGACTTCCCTAGGGGTACTTGTTCATTGGGGGCCCGTTTTTGACGTTCAGTCCTCTGGAGATCGGAGGCAGTCTTAAGGCCGTCTTGGGCCACACTGTGATCCTCTGTTGGTCCGTTGTGGGGCTCTCTTGGGGAATTATTGGGCTGTCTCTGGCCGATATCGGAGGCCTCCTGGACCGCTGTGGGCGGTCTGAATCTGAGACAGACGAGAACGGACATTTCTTTCAAAATCCAAAGCCTTTTAGGCCGTCTTTGGGGCCTCTCGAGCCGTCTTGATGCAATCTTGGGCCGTCTTGGGGCCATCTTGGGGTCTTGGAGGCATCGTAGACGAACTCTGAGTCCTCTGGGATCCTTTTGGGCCGTCTTAGAGACAATATCGGTTCGTCTTGGGGCCATCTTACCCGTCTTGGAGGCCATCTCGTCCACACTGAGGCCGTCTTAGGGCTGTCTTTGACCGTCCTGGGGCCCTCTTGGGAGCCCCTTGGGGGCCTCTTTGGCCGTGTTGGGACAATCTGTGGGGCCTCTTGTGCCATCTTGGAAGCTGCAATGGCGCAGGAAACGAATATGGCAATACTACGTTATCGGAAGGGGCATGGGGCGATTTTGGTCCCTTGGGGTCGTCTTGAGGCGCCTCCTGGGGCCCCTTCTGGGGCTGTCTTGAAGCCATCGTGAGCGATCTTGGACCGCTCTTGGGGCGCATTCGGCCCTGCGGAGCCGCTCTGGTCGCTTTGCCGTGCCTTTCTGAGCTGTTCGGCGCCGCCGGGCAGAAGCCCGGGAGGCCTCGCAGGTTTCCAGGAAGTCCCTGATGGTGTCGAAATTTCCGGTGCCGAGCAGGGGGGGGAAGCGGGGAAATCCGGGAGGGTGTGCCACCCTGGGGCCCTGGCCCCCGGCATATGATATACCATCTCGAATATGGATAGTCAGCAGCACCAGACTCATGGCGAGGCGATCGATTACTCGGCCCTGCAACGCTCACGTTCGCAGCTGAGCTAGCGCGCAGCCAGGTGTACAATGACATTTTGCATCGGTGAACCGCCAGTGTAGCATCACCATGATAGCGATTAACAGATCAGTAGTGCCCAACCTACCAAGTCGCCATGGCATCAACAAAAACAGGTCGGAGCCAAGCGCCGCCGGAGGGATCCCCCTCGGCACAGCGCCCGACCCCGCCGCGTGCTTCATATGTCGATGGCATCAGACATCGGGTCACGTCGAAACTGAAAATCATCCACGAATAAGACTCCAAGCCTTCAAACTGGGGTCACGTCTAAATTAAAGATCCCCCTCTGATGCCTCAGTCAGCCCGTCGGCGAGAATGTCTGTTGTGATATCTCTTTCAGTCGGACTCTGGCATTCAAAGCCTATAGTCTGGCCTCCCATCATGATTGTGTCGTTACTTCCGTCCCATGCCCTGCCGCTCGTGTTCTTGCTCGGGGTGGAGGAGGCTATGAAGACACAACAGCCGGGTGGACGAGGGCAGCGCGACGGTTTCCCGAGCACGGGCCTGCCGCTCGAAGGAAGCACGTTCATGCTTCTGTTGCTATTCTGCCGTCCTGTTGCTTGTGCGGTTTTCTAAGCTGCGTGTCTCTTGTCTCTCCATCACATATTCCCTTCATGCTATACACGATACACGAGAGGGCCCGCAGCGCCCGACCCAAAACACCTCGAAGGCTCAAATTCATTCTTGGCCGTTCTAAAATTCGTCAGGGTTCGCATCGGATAGCCACCGCATGGCCAGGGCCCCAGGAGGCGCCGAAGAGGGCCTCGAGAGCCAAAGACGGCACAATAATCAGGAGTTCAAGACGCCCCAAGACGGCCTGCAGACGACAAAAGGACGATGAGGCGTTCGCGCAAGTAGAGGCAGGAAGGACATTATGATAGAGGACTGTAGAAGCAGCAGGAGGTGGAAGGGCCAGAGGGGGTGGACGGAGAAGGACAGAAATGGGAGACTGGAATGGAAAAGAAGGGAGGAGACAAGTAGCGAAAATGGAAACAGATGGACGAGCAGTGGGAGGAGGCAGAAGGAAGAGAGAGACGAGGGAAGAAAGCAATGGGCCCGCTCCTGGGGTGAGTGGCAGGGTACCCTGGTGAGCCATCTCCGCCCTCAGCACCTTGGCCAACTCGTCGTGGTGCCGACGGCGCTGCAGCGGGGGGGGCAGGACGCTCCGGAAACGACGTTCAGAACGAAAACGACGACGATGACGAGGATGGCGGCGGCGGCGGAAGCGTAGTCGACGACGACGGCGTCGGCAACGAGACGAAGAGGAGCCAGGGTGCGGAGGAGGGAGAGGAGGGAGCAGTGAGGGGGAGTGAGGGGCCTTGAAGTTTTTCAAAAATGCTGCGAGCTAGGAATTAGAAATTGGGTGAGAATGTATGTTTGTTCAAACAGTTTCGGTAGCTTCAGGGAGTTCCCGAGGGAAAAACAAGGTTCGGGAGGACTCCGAGGAAGAAGGGAGCGGCAAGGAGGAGAGAGGATGGCAGAGGAGATGGGGGTAGGAGGGCGGGGGGAGCAGGGAGAGGAGCGAAGGAGGACTACGAGAACGAAGAGGAGAGGGATAATGACGAGGAAGGGGCGGATGAGCACGATGACCAGGCAAACGGCGTCGTCATCTTACTCATCCTTCTCCTCACGCCCCTCGTCCTGCTTGCCGTTGTTCTTTCTCTTCATCCGCTTCAGACAGGCCGAGGAAACAGATCGGTCGCGGCAGGCGGCAGGCGGCAGCAGGGGCAGGCGGCAGTGGCTCTCTACGCGGGGCGGGCAGAGCAGGCAGGCGACGGCCGTGGCGGGCGTGCGCTTGCAAAGGTTTTTGGCTACGCCTGCCCGCAAGACATAGTCTCTCGAGGGCTGGGCAAGTCTGCCCCAGAGCAGCCAACCACAACTGAGTATGGCTGTGTCTGTACACGTGCATGTCTCCAACAGTATCTCTCGATCTAAATCACTCTATACCTATGTAGGTATGTATCGGTCTCTCTATCTCTCTTTCTCTTTCTCTTTCTCTCGGTATGGGCCTGGATTGTCCCATCTCACAATACAACAGAAGCCAGCAGTGTCCATCAGTAGACTTGTACCATAGAACGTCATGCGCGATCTTCGTAGTTCGGCATCGCTCTATGTATATGAGCATGTAAACAAAACGAGTGAAGGTACACTCCTGTGCTTTGTGACTCCTTCCATGGCTGTACCCATTACCACCTGAATTACCAAGACTCCTACTCACCCGTTGCCGCCCGCCCATCCTTCTTGGCGCCAGTCACGTCCTTCCCCTCTAGCAGCTTGGCGGTGCCCTCCAGCCTACGTGGGGGCGACAAGTGACGAAAACGGATGGAGAAAGGAAGGGACCGCTGCAGGATAGAGGAATGGGCAGAAGAGGAGAGACCATGAATTGGATTCCAACGCCCTCGCTGACACAAGTTGCGGCTTACCACCCTCCATGAACGCGGTAGTCCGCAGAGCCGATCCGTAGCAGCCATGAAAGCGTCAACCTTTTAGCATCGGGTCCATATCGCGACGACCTTTTCGGTTGTCTATGGCATTATGTGGCACGGCGTGGACCGTGTCGAGGCCTACCGATGGCGCAGATCATCCGACACGAGCCGAGGCAAAGCCACTGGCGGCGCCCAACCCTACACCTGCAGCGCTCCTCGCCAGGCCCAAGGTCGGCGTCGTCGGCATGCCCCCCCCCCCCCCTCGGTGGGGGCTTGCCCAAGAAGCACTCGGAACTCGGAAACTCGGAACTGCAGCTGTCGCTGGCCAGTGCGTCGCAGGTGGACGCCGTAGCGCCAGGCATGTGAAATATGTGCGTACGTGCTTGGGAAAACCGCAACACTGCAATGATGTACAAATGCGAACGAAGATAAAACAATATGAAATAAAGACATAACCACATCCTGGCAAGGAGGATATGCGCCCATATCCTGCGCCCAGGATCGGCGCAGGCGTGCAGGTGACGCCCTCTGGAGGGTAGGCCGTGTAAAGGACCATGAAAAAGCATGCCGCCGTCCTCCAAGAAGAGAGAGAGGGAGAGGGCGAGGGCGCTCGCTGACTGCGGGGAGACAGTTGATGGGGGAGGGATGGGGAAGGGGAAGACTGGACTGGAATGCCACCTGAAGTGCCAATGTCGCCTCAACGGTCAAAAAATATCGCTGTGGTCATCGTCGTCACTGTTGTCCCGAATCGTAGGCCTCACCGCACGGATAGCCTGTATGAGGAACGTGTCCAGCGGGCGGGCCGCTAGGCATAGGGCGGCGCCTTCAGAGTCGTCGCGAATCTAGGTGGGAAGGGGAGGGGGCCCGCCAGACCTCCCCCCCCATCCCTCCCCTCCCCGGGGAAAATCATCAAGATGTCGACAACGCCCCCTCCTCCTGGCGACGACGACGGCGACGACGACGCAGACGACGACGACGACGACGCCGCCGCCGCCGACGACGACGACGCCGCCGACGACGACGCCGCCGCCGCCCCCGCCCCCGCCCCCGCCGCCGCCGACGACGACCACGACGATACACGACGCACGACGACATCCCATAACCGACCCAAGACGGTCGCAACCCTTCTCCGACATTGAATCGCCCGCAAACGCCGACCTCAGTGTCATCACAGCGCTATGGTCTGGGCTCGAACCTCAGCGCGCGCGTGGTTCTAGTATTATATATATATATATATATACAAGACTGCATTGGCGCTTCGCGCCATGCACCTTGGTCCTTGATGCTTTGCTTGTGTTGGTCGTTCGCGCCATCCCCAGTGGCCTTGGAAATTTGGCCCCTTCCCTGCGGTGGTTGTCGGAAGTCTTCGAAAGTTCGGGAGGTCCGTGGCCCTTCCCGGGCCTCCAGGGGCTCCCGAAAGGCGCCAGGAGTAGGGAGGGAACCTCAGGGAGCGAGGAGAGGGAAGCGGTTGCGCGGGAGGACAAGCGGTGGAGCGGCAGAAAGAGGAGGAGGAGGACCCGGAGGAGGAGCAGGAGGAGGGAAAGAGATGGATGGCGCCGTCGGGGGACGGTGAAGAATTTCGGTTGCGCCGCACCGAGGAGCGCTGTCCAGAAACCAACGGCTACGGTTTCACGTGTACTTGCACGCTTGCAGAAATGTCTGGCAGTGAATGACGACGAATGGCCTTCGTAGGCCCGCACATTGGCCCGCTCCTGGCTCGGGTGCCCCGGAGCGCATTGCGAATGAATGGCAAGCCACGCGAATGAATGCCAAGCAAACCGACGCAATGTCAAGCAATGCCGCAAAATACAACGCAATGCCAAGCCGAGGATGTCATGTTGCAACGGGTCGCAGCTGGGCACGCGAAATTAAGTAATTCTTGCGGAATGCACCGGATCCCGGGTTCACAACAGATTTCCGGGAAATGTGGTTGCGAACCTGGGATTCGGGTCAGTTTGGTGGAAAACACTGTGTGGGCATTGTTGGAGCCCTGGTGGGCCGGCTTGGGGCCCTCTCGAGCCGTCCTGGGCCCATCTTGGGCCGTGCTGGGGAGCTTGGGCCCTCTAGGGACCTCACAGGGGCTACGTGGGTCCTTCTGGTGGTCGCCCATGGCCTTTTGGGGGGCCTCCCATGGCCTTCTTTTGCTTCTCTAGGGGGCCTTGTGAGGGCCTGGTGGGCCTCTTCTTGGCCCATTTGCCGCTTCCTTGGGCAGTCTTGGGGCCATTCAGGCCGTCTAGAGGCTCTCTTGGGGGTCTCTTGAGCCGTCTTGGGGCGATACTGGAAGCCCTTTTGGCTGTTTTGGAAGCTGCTCAAACCCAAAGAGCGAATATGCTGAAAATGTACGTTCCCTAAAAGGGAATAATGGGAGTTCTGCGTTCTGGGAGTCCTGTGCAGGGCCTCCAGGGCCTTGGGGGCCTTGGCAGGCCATCTGGGTCTTTCTTAGAACGCGCTTGTGCTGTCTTGGGTCTCTCTTCGACCTCTCTGATCACCGTTCTGATCGCCTGGGGTCTGCTCGCAAGACCCGCCCAAACGCCCTGGGAGGTCCGGGAAGAGCCAGGGGACCTTTGGCAAGGGTGTCTGGTGGGCCCGGAAACCCCAGAACCTGGGGGTCCTGTTTTGGGGTGTGGGGGAGTGGGGAGGTTTCCCCCCCCCCCCCCAGCTTGCAAAAATATAAGAAGAGGAATACACAGATCTCTAAGCATATAGGTATATGTACCACGGTGTCGCCGCATTTACCTTCGACTTTTCTCAGTTGCTTTCTGAGCACCCCCCAGCCTCTCCCCCTCACTCCGCAGAACACCACAAGAGGTCCCCAAGAGGCTCCCAAGAGGCCCCAAAGAGGCTCCCAAGAGAAGCCAGAATTCCTCCCTAGAGGCACCCGAAAGCCTTCCGAAGAGAGCTCAAGAAGCATCCCTGAGGACTCTGGCCCGCGTCAACGTCGTCGTCGTCGCCTCCCTTCAAGGTCGGCAGCACTGGCCGTAAGGCCTTCGCAATAAATCGTGAGAAGGGCCAGAGCGAAAGCGTGATTCCTGAGTGTCGAAAGCGCGGCGTCTGAATCTAATCGCGAGGACGTCCCATGCGACAGCGCGATTCCTGCATAAGTTGTGAGGAAGTCGCGAGAGCGCGATTTTGAAATAAATTGTGAGGAAGTGTCAGGCGGGAGCCCTTGTTGTAGTTCGGGGGCCAACAACCTAATATGAGGAGCACATATCCCTTGTTACAATGCAGAGTGCGAGCCCCCAGAGGAGCATTTAAGTTGAAAAACGCAGAAAGTGCACCGAGGGGGGGGATCAGAAATAATAGTTCCTTAACAAGGCGAACTCATTCATGTTTAGTATGTTCGAACTTATTTGCTCGCGTGCCATTCAACACGTACATCCCAAACCCTCGGTACCCGCACTCTTTGTCTTCGATCGCACCCTCTTTGGGGGTACATCTTCCCTACCTGCCGCGTGTAGTTGGCACAGCCCCTAAGACAGGGGAAGGAAGGGAAGACACGGGGGAGTGAGAAGGATTGAGCACGAGAGAGATTTGCAGGAGGAGGCTCAGGAACAAGAGTACATGCGGCATAACCAGACGGGCGGGTCGGGCGGGCGAACCCTTACGGGCAGGTCGGGTGGGCGGGCCAGGCTTGGTCGAGCGGGCGGGTCGCTGAGGCGTCAATCCAGTATGGATCGCAAGGAAATTTCAAGCAATAGCGCGATTCCCAAGTACATCGTGAGAAAATTCAAAGCGATAGCTTGATTCCGGAGTATTGGGGGCACGGCGCCGCAATAATTTGTCAGGAAGTACCACGCGAGAGCGCGATGTCTCAAGAACATCTGAGGAAGTCCTGCGCGAGAACTCGATTTTGAATTGAATTGTGAGGAGGTCCCAGGCGACGCCGCCGTTGTTGTAAACTGGGGGCCAGCAACCCAACCTGAGGAGGAAAACCTTCCCTTATGAAAAACCAGGTTCGAGCCCCGGGAGAAGTACTTGAAATTAAAAACACGATATGCACAGGGTAGGGGGATCAACAATAACTATCTGTTCTCAGAAGAATGAAGACTCAACAACACACAAACAGACACCTAAATTTTCCCGCGTCGCATCAAACTCTGGGTGTTCCACCGCCACCCACTGAGTGTCTGCCCTGCTGGGCCCCCCCGGCAGCCCGGAGTCGTTGCCGTCGGAGCCAGAATCTTCGGCCACGGCATCATCGACGTCCAGGTGGCCTGCCGGATGGGGTACGACCCGATGCGGTCCGAGGAGGCGAGGGGGAAAGGGGGGAAGGGGGGTTGGGGGCGGGAAGGAGGGGGGAAGGAAGGGAAAAGAGGGATGTGAGAGGGAAAGGAAGGAGTGGCAAGAGGAGAGACCGGTTGGAAAAAGGGCGAGGAGACTGACCCTGGGAGACCAAGGATCTCTGGGAAATTCCCAACTGCGCCTCGCGCCCACAACCAAGGCACGATGGCGGGGGCGGCCGAAGTCCACTAAACAACAGCCCCTCCGAGCGCTGAGCCTTCGCAAGGTACTTTGGCGATGGTGGATGATTGGCTTTGGTAGGGAGGGCCTTCTGCTTCTAGTACCCTCTTGCTGCGCTGGAGGTGGGCTCGATCCCCGTGCAGAGAGAATGGGGTTTCTCGCCTCTGCCGGGGTGCGGTTTCTCTCGGACGGGTCATCAATCCACGCACCCATCCTGGACACGATCATGACTAGATTTTCGAGCTGCGTCCAGCCGTGGACAAGAGGGGCCCGCGACCCCCACAAGCAGTGTTCAAATACTTGGACACTCCCCGCAACCTCCCCCGCTTCCTCGCCATGATGTCAGGGGTTTCCTGAAAGAAGCAGGCCCCAGCCCCAGCACCCACTCTTCATCCTGCGCCGTGTTTGGACGGTCACGGGGCCACGGCGGGGCGGGCGACGACGACGTCGGCGGCGGCTGCGGCTACGCGCCCTGCGGCGATGCCACGGCGAGCAGCTGGTCCACGTCCTGCGCCGAGCACGCGGGCGGGCCCTGGTCAGAATGCGCCCTGGAAAGGTCGGGGGGGGGGTTCTGACAGAGGAGGAGGGGCGCTCCTCCTTCAAGTTCGAGCTGCGGCCAGGTGTGTCGCAAGCAATTGATGCCCGCGCACCCCTCGGCACCGGCCAAAAGCCAGGGGGAGGGGAGGATTAACCCGGTGCGACCCCAATCAGGGGAACGCTTCCTACTGCAAGGGCGCATTGCGTGGCATTGTTTGCCGTTTGCTTGGCATGTTGCTTGGCATAGTGCTTGGCATTGCGTGGCATTGAGCGGCGTTGCTTGACACGTCGCGGCATTGCGTGGCATTGCGTGGCGTTGCTTGGCATTGCTTGACACTGCGCGGCATTGCTGTGCATTGCTTGGCATTGCGCGGCGAGGCAGCAAGGAAATATTAATAAACCAAAACCAAGGAGCCAAGAACCAAGACCAAGGAAACAAGGAACCAAAACAAAGGAACCAAGGAGCCAAGGAACCAAGACCAACGAGCCAAGGAACTATGACCAAGAAACTAAGGAACCAAGACCAAGGAACCTGGGCAAAGCGATCTAAGAAAGCAGAATGATCGAACCCTGGGGAAGGCCATTGTACGAAAACAAAACCAAAAAACCCTGGAGCAGGCCGGCGCCAACAGGGGACCGCACCCACCGGCGCATGCGAAAGTAACGAGGACCTCCTGAACCGCCTGCAAACAATAATCACCACGAGCTGCAAACAAGCAGCAAGCACCAACCAGACTCGGAGCCACGCGAAGACGAACCTGCAATAGGCGAGCCCGCGCACGGAACCCTGGCTTGCGCCGCAGAATCGCACAGCGCTTTGATAAGACGAACGAAGGCGAGGAGGAGGAGGAACAGGGAGAGTGGGCGGCACGGTGGCCACAAGTGGCTGTCGCGTGCACCCGTTCCTTAGACCCCTGGCCAGTGTCACGAGTAAGAAAACATCGGCGAGAAGGGAGGAACGAGGAAGGAGAAGGAGAAAGAGGGAGGGGGGAAGGAGCTGAAACACCGCACCGTGAGTCACGGAGTCGGTGGGTGTCCTGGCCAACACTGCTGGCGACCACGCCGCGGCAGGACGTGCCGCTACGCCGCGGGGAGAGAGCGGAGTAGAGGGACGAGAAGTAGCAAAGACCCGAAGCGGTGGGAGCCCAGGGTTGGCTGCAAGCTAGTGTGGAGCATCGGCTTCACCGAGGCGGCACCCTCAGCTGAAAGGCGCGGCCGCAGGCGTCGTTTCGACAGGTGACGGGTCGACGCTGCTGGAGTGCCCGCGTCTGGATTCCACGTCCGGGTCGTGATAGGCATCGTCCTCATTACCAACCACCTGGACACGGCTGGGCAGGCATCGCCGGATCATTCGCGCCGCTCGCCTTTCAATTTCGCTGAAGATTCGGCGCGGCTCCACGTGCGCTTCCGTGCCCTTGCGCTGGGCTACGCGGCGAGCCAAGCTCGAAACGAGTTGGCCTGCGGATGCGGCCGTCCAAAGCAACTGAACGTGATGGGTCGGCAATCCAGGCCCGCCGAATCCAATTCGTGCGCAGAAGGCGCGAGCCGATCGACCTTGCGGCGACACGTGGCCTCGCAACAATCCGCGCCGGCGTCGCGTTCCGCAGGGGCCGCGATCCCCACGTCCAGAGCCGCAGACCGCTCTGTGGGACCAGAAACGCACTTGAGAACATCTACAGGGCGAAGTCCTGGACGTGAGGAATCGAGGCCCGTGGGCTTAAGCTCCATCGTAGAATCGAGGCTGCTCGCGGTGTCGTAGAGCTCGTGGCGGACAGCATCGAGGCCAAGCGTGCTAGGCCTCCATGCCGCATTCGCATAGAAGTCCATGAGTGCCAACTAGCCCAACCACCCAACCACCCCGTTGCCGCAGAAGCCGAACAGAAGGAAACCTTCTGGGCCCGCTGCTCCGAGCCGCAATCACACGGCGTGGTGAAGCCCTCCTTTGAGAGCGTCTTCCCCTTTTTTGGGTCACACGGCCCGCAGCCAATCAGGGGAAATGTCTGGATGGGAAAGCTTGCTGAGCACCTGCTCGCGCTCCCAATCACCTGCCTCGCGCATCCCCACCAGGAGGTCATGCGCACCAGTGGCATCTGCAAGGCGCACAAGCTCACTCTACAACCGCGGCCCGCCCTTGGGCACTGGGGCAGCGGGGTGTTCAGAATCCTCGGTGTCCGCGTCTGGCAATAGGCCCGCGGCTGGGCGGCTGATGCCCTGTGCCGGTGTCGCCCTGAACCGCCACTCGGCCCTTGAACTTACGTAGTTCAGGAGAAAGTTCTTCATGTTTGACTGAAGATAGCTCCAAGATGTTGAAGAAGTGAACCTTTTTCCCTGTACGAATCGCCTGTGATTCAATATGATCTTTTTCAGCAACAGTCTCTAACATCCGCGTTTGATTCTTTTCAAGGCGCTCGTATTCTTTGCGCAGGGCCTCCTGTGCACGTGGCTCTGCGGCAACTTCTCGCTTGTTCAAATTTCTGGCAACAAGGGCTGGGCGCGCCCATGGTGAGTCAGGAATATTATCTCTGTGTGACGGTGTGTATGTCGGTCCACGTGGCATAGTGGGCACTGCTACCGACGGGGCGAACTTGCGTGTGAGCGGGTTCACGGTCCCGAAGTCGATCCCCTTCACTGTCAATAAGTACCAGATCACGTGCGACTCCAGCAGGCTGTGGTGAGGGTTGGCGGTCGTATAATACTGCAGAAATGTCACGTGGTCAACCAGGTAATTTGGCATACAGAATTTCTTTGTTGGTCACGCCCTTGACATCCTCGTCTCGAATGACAGCACCACTGTCTGTGTCGTAAAAAATCCGTCGTTCCACGGTGTTCCATGTGGGTCCACCAGCTGTAGTAGTACGGAAATGTTTGGCTTGTTTGTCCTGTCGGGTCCACGCTCGAAGTGCAGCTCGTTCGCGAGCCCCACAGGCTTGTTTGATGTCTTCGGCGTACTCAATCTCCTTCTTTTGCTGTCCCCGAGACAAGGTCTTCCAATGCTCGGGAAGAATGTGGTCTGGACGCGTAGTAGTCTGTGCGCGTGTCTCGCGGCCGCGGACCACCATTTTGCCGTCTGGCAACATCTTAGGGAGCTCATAGAATCGAACTAGGCCGGTCCAAGGCTCGCTCAGTTCTCGGTGGTCTGTGGCGCTAACGCCATCCCAAACATCGCGAAAGACACTTCCACCCTCGAAGGTAGAAGTCGTCTCGAAGTCTCGTGTCACATCGAGCTGATCATCTGGTGCAGGTATGTTCATAACGTCGTCTGTTGGTATGAACAACTTCCTGCGCGGAGTACGGATTTGTCGGATGATGCAATGTCCACGCTGTTCCCAATAGTCGGGATCCGGTGCTGGTGCAGCAACCTCGGAGGCCGATGGGTGAGTATCAGCGAGGTTGTCGTCCATCGTCAACATAGATGGATCACCCCACTCCTTTGGGCAGGCAAGTGGAAGGTCGGGCATAGTTTTGTCGCCCAAGGGGCGAGAAGTAGATGCCTTGACCTCGTCGTGTGCCTCTGGGTTGTAATGTCGTAGGGTACCGTCTTTCACACGGAAGGTGAACTTGCCGTCGGGGGTAATAATGTCTTTGACTCTGTGTACGTGGCACAGGTCGCCGTCTGGGTTCTTGGCGTATGTAGCCGCATCCAAGACGAGATAATCACCAGACCAGCGCCCACCTGAGTGTAAATTGTAACCCATAAGTAACCCTTCCCGAGTATTCTCTTTGAATTTCGCAGTCTCGTTGTTGATCTCGGGATTGAGACATTTCCAAAAGATCCGAGCACCAAATGGAATGCAGTGCCCGAGGAAACTATCACCAAAACGTATCTCATGAGCTGTCTTTTCAGCATGCTCATCGCTAAGGGCGGCAACGCCCGTGGATGGATGCACAAAGTTATGTCCACAGCAGAAGGCTTGCATGGCCTCTTTCCACCATTCGTGTCCCAGACCAGACATGTGCAACGCAGCTCTCGTACCGAGGATGACGATCTTGACAATGCGCCCAATCAATCCATTTGTCTGCGGACGATGAGGAGTACTAGCGTCATGGCTCCATCCCAGTTGGCGGCGTGCCTTCTGAAGCTCTCCAGAATTATATGTATATATGTGCTTCACCTCATCGTTTGCGGCGATGAACTGCTGGAAGGATGCCATTGTAGTAGCTGCGTCTTTGTGCAATGCTGGGCACGCCATGAAGATGCCAGCGTGCCTGTCCAGCACGACGAGTGCGTGCTTGTCGCCGTGCTTGTCAGCGGCATCGTCTTTGGCCAAAACGACATGGTCGGCAGTTAGAGCCTCCCCGAACTTCTTCGGGACGAAGGCCTCGTAGGCTGTGTCCTCGTCGGTGGGGGCTGCCGGTGGATGTGGTTTGCGCTGTCGTCTGCACGGGGCGTTCTACGCCATGATGCGAGAGCAAATCTCAGTCTGGATGTTTCGGATTGTGGGTCATGTAGTGCATAGGGTCAATCGGTTTCTTCTGTCTGCTTGCAAGAACGCGATCACTATCATGGTGCACTTTGACGAGCGTCTCCATCGGCAGATCCTCGAGAGAGGTCGACGTGATGTCGGTATCTGCTTGAGCTGTACCTGCGAGCCCCCCGCATGTGGGAGGAGAACGCTGTTTCTGAGACGTAGACGAGTCGTTGTGTGCATCCACGTTGGACTCGGCATTATTTGTGTCGTGAGGTTCTTCGACCGTGGCGGTCCGCGCTCCTCCTCCCTCACCGACATGTGGTCTCTTGGGACATGTCCCCATGTGGGGCCGCAGCTCATCTGTAGGTGGTGACTGCTCTGTAGTCTTGCAACACCAGCATATGTCATTGCAGCGTGCGGATGGACGCTTGCGCTGACGACGTCTGGGTGCTGACGAAGTGCATGGTCGTGGTGGTGGCATCGTCTCCAAATCGTCGAGTCGTAGTTCTGGAGCTCTGTTATTGACGGGAACCTTATACCATTGGCCCCCCGGATCCTGAAG